CTCTGATTTTGTTGATTTAGATTTGCTCTTTCTTTTGGTTAACTGGGCTAAGGGTCTGTCTATCTTGTTTAGCTTTTCAAAGAATCAGGTCTTAGTTTCATTGATTCTTTGTATTATTTTCTCTGTTTCTATTTCAATAATTTGTGCTCTGATTTTTGTTATTTCTTCTCTTCTGGTAGGTTTGGGTTTCATTTGTTCTTGCCTTTCCAGGGTCTTGAGTTGCAGAGTTAGGTCATTTGATTTTGTGCTTTCTAATTTTGTAATATAGGCACTTAGAGCTATAAACTTCCCTCTTAGGACTGCTTTTAAAGTGTCCCAGAGGTTGTGTTGTGTTGTATTGTCTTTTTTGTTGAATTCCAGGAATTTTTTTTATTTCTTTCTTAATTTCTCCTTTGACCCACTCATTGTTTAGGAGTGTGTTGTTCAATTGCCATGAGTTCATGTAAAGACTAGGGCTTTGTCCATTATTGATTTTTGAGCTTTATTGCATTGTGGTCCAATAGAATGCATGGAATTATTTCAAGTTTTTTGTATTTGTTGAGGTTTGTTTTGTGGCCCAATATGTAGTCAATTTTTGAAAAAGTTCCATGAGGTGCTGAGTAGAAAGTGTATTCTTTGGTGCTTGGGTGGAATAATCGAAAGATGTCTGTTAGGTCCATTTGATGTATGTTATCATTTAATTCAGAAGTCTCTCTGTTTATCCTTTGTCCAGTTGACCTGTCTAATGGAGACAGTGGGGTATTGAAGTCCCCTACTATTACTGAGTTGGGGTTAATCTGTGTCTTACAGTCCTATAGTATTGTTTTTATGAATTTGAGTGCACCAGAGTTCGGTGTATATATGTTAAGGATTGTAATATCTTCTTGGTTAATTGTTCCTTTAATCAGAATGAAGTGACCCTCCTTATCTCTTCTGACTAATTTTACTTTGAAGTCTTTGTCAGATATTAGAATTGTAACCCCTGCTTATTTCTTAGTGCCATTTGCTTGAAATATTCTTTTCCATCCTTTTACCTTAAGGTAGTACCTGTCCTTGAAGGTGAGCTGGGTTTCTTTCAGAAAGCAAAGAGATGAATTTTGTTTCTTTTGACTGGGGAGTTCAGTCCATTGACATTTAAGGTTATTATTGAAAGGTCTATATTGGTTGCCATCATTTTGATTGCTGTTTATGTTCTCTGTCTAATTTTGTGTTTCCTCAATTATACCTTTATTTTCTTTCATTGCCCCTGGGGTACAGTTGTTTCTCTCTCCGCTCTCTGTATTACTTTAAGTATTCTTTGAAAGGCTAGTTTTGTGTAAATGTATTCTTTTAGGGTATTCATGTCATGGAAGAATTTATTTTCCCCCCTCAATTATAATAGACATTTTTCCTGGGTAAAGTATGCTGGGCTGACACCTGTTGTCATGTAGAACTGGAAATAACCTTGGTGGAGGCTCTTCTGGCTTTCATAGTTTTCATTAATAAGTCAGCTTTAATTCTGATGGGCTTTCCTTTGTATGTGACTTATTTTTCTTTTGCTGCTTTCAGTATTCTCTCTTTGTTCTGTACATTTAGTGTTTTTACTATGATATGTTGTGGGGAGTTTCTTTTCTGATCCTGTCTATTTGGTGTTCTATGTGTTTCTTGTAATTGTATGGGGATGTCTTTCCTTAATTTCAGGAAATTCTCTTCTGCAATTCTGTTTAAGATCTGGTCAACACCATTAACCTGAAATTCTTCTCCTTTCTCTATGCCTGTGATAAGTAGATTGGTCTTTTCATGATGTCCCATGTCTCTTGCATATGCCATTCCTTTGTTTTTTAAAAATTTCCATTATCTTTGCTTGATGCCATTAACCTGAAATTCTTCTCTTTTCTCTATGCCTATGATAAGTAGATTGGTCTTTTCATGATGTCCCATGTCTTTTGCATATGCCATTCCTTTGTTTTTTAAAAATTTCCATTATCTTTGCTTGAGTGGTGCAGTTCTTCAACTTGATCCTCCAGTGTTGATACTCTGTTTTCCATTTCATTCATTCCAGCAGTGAGGCTTTCCCCTGTTGTTTCAAGTTGGCTTATTGAGTTTAGCATTTCTTTCTTCATTCTGCCTGAGTTTTCTTCAGTGTTTCTCTTTTGTGAATTCATTCAGACGTTTATCCCTATCTTCTTTTAGTTTTTTGATTTGTTTGTTCATGTGTCATTTAAATTCATTGAATTCCTTGATCATGTTTATGATTATTCTTTTCAATTCAATGTCCTGGGTTATCTCTAGGGGGTTCTCCTTGTAGAACTCTTCTACCAGACTGGTAAAATTTGGTGGGGACATAGTGTTTTGGCTTTCCATTTTATTATTATTTCATTGTGATTTTGGCATGTGAATTTCTTTTGTTGTTTATGATTCTGATATGAGAATTAAGTTGAAGTATGCTTCTGTTTGCATTTTTGGGGTGCCTAGGTCCTTTCCTTATTGGTTCTGTAAAGCTGGTTGGTACAGGTTTCAGGTTCTCTCAGGTTTCATTTTAGAGGGAATTGATGGCTTCAGATCAGCTATTCAGGAGCCCCCACAGAAGCCCAAGTCAGGTTCTAGTCGGGTACACTCAGGCTTCCTTCTAAGGTTTGGACCCTTATTAGCAGGAACTCGTGGAAAATTTGGGAAGTTCCCTAAGGGAGGGGGAGATTTGGGGACTCTCAGTTGGTCTGCTGTGTTCTTAGCCCCTATGCCAGAAGGAGGCCAGAACCTGGCACTCTCTGGCGGTCTGCTGAGATCACAGCTGCTATACAGATGGAGGTCAGATCCCACCCTCTCAGGCTGTCTGCTAGGATCTCCATATAATGAATTTCTGCTGCATCCTTATTTTCCAGAAAAATAAATGAGGTTTTAAATTTTTATTTATTAACCATGTCCTGCATAGTGCCCATGGAGGACAGAAGAGGACGTTGGGTCCCCTGGAACTGGAGTTATGGATGGTTGTTAGTCACCATGTGAGTGCTGGGATTCAAACCCAGGTGTTCTGCAAGAACAGCCACTGCTCTTGATGCTGAGCCACCTCTCCAGCCCCGACTGAGTATCTTTTCTTAACCCTGCTCTTTTAGCCAAAAGAAAAAACAAATAAAAAACTACCTCAAAGAGTGAAACAGAATTTTTTTGTATTATTTGAAAATGTCCATACAACGTAATATATTCATTATGTTGTTAATTACATTTCAGTATGAGGGTTAGCATTCTTCCAGTATATCTGTGATAGTTAGTGTTAATTGTCAACTTGAGAAAAATCTAGAATCACCTGGGAGATGGGTCTCTGAACATTTCTGTGGGGGATTGGCTTGATTCTGTTCATCGAGATGGGAAGACCCACCTACTGGGGGTGATTACATCCCATTGGATCCTAGAGTGTGTAAATGGAGATCATGCACCATGCACATATGCCTTCAGTGCATTCTGTTCCTGGTTATGATGCAGTGCAACCGATTCCCTGAAGCTCCTGTTGCTGTGACCTCCCTAGTCTCTGGTAGGTTGTAACCTGGAGCCGTGAGCTAACAAACCCTTTCTCCCTCTGGTCAGGGCATTTCATTGCAGCAACAGAAAAGAAGCTGAGACGGCAGCCAGTCAGTGTCTAGTAGTTAATGACTTGCCACCCCTCAGTTGGTGACTGACTTACCTTTTTAAGTCACAAGTTCAATGTTTTGTCTTTCCCAAACAGGCACTGAGGTGTACCCCCTTGAGTCATGGGTTCTGACCCTTGGTACATTCAGGTGTACCTGAATGTAGTCATGGGCCCTGACCCCTCAGTACACTGAGATATACCCCTCTTGGTCACGGGTCCTGATCCTCGGTGCACTGAGGTGTACCCATCTCGTGTCACCTCGGTCTACCCTGCCTTCCTTGGCCTCTTTTTCTGACGAGATCCTTCTCTCGTTGTCTCTTTTCACCTACCTCTGGAACTCAGGGTCTCATTACTGCTTCAGTGCCCTACCACTGAGCATATCCCCAGCCCAAGTCTGCTGTTTTATCCCACCTCCCAATGCTGGGAATCAAACCCAGGGCCTCGTACAAGCTGGGCAACAGCTCTACCACCGAGCTGCACTCTTAGCCCTGTTTCTTTCTATTATAATTATCTCGAATATTTGGAGCTTTTTGTTTTGTATGGAAACAAGGTCTCACATAGTTGCTCACACTAGCCTGAAACATACCAGGTAGACCAGGCTGGCCTCAAATTTGTGACAGTTCTCCTGCCTCAGCCTCTTGAGTGCTGAGATAATAGGTGTGAGCTTCCGTGCGGAAACAAGGTCTCACATAGTTGTTCACTCTGGCCTGAAACATACCAGGTAGACCAGGCTGGCCTCAAATTTGTGACAATTCTCCTGCCTCAGCCTCTTGAGTGCTGAGATAATAGGTGTGAGCTTCCGTGTCCAAGAAACAGCTTGGCTTTTGTCACGGGTCTCCTAAGCTGCTTTCTGGATGTTTCTCCATGGACCCATGTTCTTCAGGATGTGAGGCAGCTAACTGCAGCTTTCCAGTAGATCACACAAAGTCACAGAAGATCCCACCATCTCACAGAATTCTAAAGAACCATCTGGAACTGGCAATAGTCATTTTGGCCCTCAAATATCAGCCTTTCTCTGTGTCATGTTCCTTACATGCACCATGTCTACAAAGAACTGGTTCATTTCTGATTAACTATCGAATATCCTGACTCGATGATTGTTCTATTTGTTGGTACATACCAAAATTTGATTCTAGACATATAGCACCATCAACTACTCATTCAGACCCAATTTGTCTCGATATGGATGGAGAGTCAGTCCATCACTAGAGGTGGTGGTGCACAGAGTCTGGGAGTCTAGCTCATACGCAGAGCACTTTAATCATTGGTCCTGATCCTCAGTGCACTGAGGTGTACCCATCTTGGTCATGGGTCCTGACCCTTGGTGCACTGAGGTGTATGCCCCTTGGTCATGAGTCCTGACCCTTGTTTCCCTGAGGTATACCCCTTGGTCACAGGTCCTGGCCCTTGGTTGCAGGTGCTGTTTGGCACAGCAGATGGGCAGGTGATCGTCATGGACTGCCATGGCAGGATGCTGGCACATGTCCTTCTGCACGAATCCGACGGCATCCTCAGCATGTCCTGGAATTACCCCATCTTCCTGGTGGAGGACAGCAGTGAGAGTGACACAGACTCGGATGATTACTCCCCTCCCCAAGGTAACCAGCCTGCTGGCCCTCATTTTGGCTTCCAGTTAGCAGAGGGAACATCTTGAAAGAGTGGGCGCACGCAGAGGAGGAGGGTGGGGGGGTCCACCTTATACATACCTCTCTAACTTAAGCTGATATGCAGCAGGACTGGCCTAACTGCTCTTGGATGTCACTGAGTCTTCCCTGCTTTCTTTTTCTCAAGAGTGCTGATAGAGTTGGTGGCACTCCAAGTGCTTAGGTTTTCCTAGATTCAAAATGAGGGTGGATTCTCCTGTATCCCTGGGGTGTTATGGGGCTTCTTAGCTGCTTAGCAAGAGTGAAGAGCATTGCAGCTGAAAATTCTGTGCTATTAATGTAGCTTAACGTGTGATGTAGCCAAATCCCCAGTGGTTTTGAAGCCTGTGACTTAGCTTTAGTTGCATGAGAAAAGAATTAGTTCTGCCCTCCTGGAGGCCAGCACCTGGAGCTGGTACTCCAAGACCTTGCCTCCCCCACCCCACCCCCCAGATCACAAAGACCCACTGTCCCTCTGTAAACCTCATTGTTAGGGACTCTTGGTGGGGCTCCTTTCAGACTCCTTCATCGTTAGTAGTGTGTTTATAGGTAAGATGTGTAAGAGACCAAAAGGAGAAAATAAAAAGTGGAAGGAAGCCTGGATGTCCTGCTAGCCTCCACCAGAGTCAGCATTGGCCGTTTCCCAATACCCAGTTGCTGCTCCAGCCATGTCTAAGTTCCTTCCTTCCTTCCTTCCTTCCTTCCTTCCTTCCTTCCTTCCTTCCTCCTCCTCCTCCTCCTCCTCTTCCTCCTCCTCCTCTTTTCC